TGGCCTCGAACTCACAGAGATCCGCCCGCTTAGAAAGCCACACTACCTATCCAAGTCTAATGGTTATGTTTTGGTTTCTGCATCCATAAAATGGAGATGAAGCTAACTGTGACACAGTCAACCTCCTAGTACCATAGTAAGAATGACAATTGTGCTGGGTGGAGGTGGCGCACACTAATCTCAGCACTTGGGAGGCAGAGGCAAGTGGATCTCTGTGAGTTCGAGGCTAACCTGGTCTATGGAGTGAGTTTCACGACAGCCAAAGCTACCCACAGAGAAACTCTGTCTTGAAAAACAGAAAAAAAAAGAAAAAAGAAAAGAACTACAATGTATAGCATCTAGGTCAGTGTCTGGCACACAGCAAACCTTATTTTCATTTTGGCTAAAGGACGGTAGGCAGAGCTCAAGTCGCCCCAGGGGTCCCAAGGAGAGAGGAATGACCTCCTTGGTGGGTAGACTGACCTGGCCCCCTGTGCCACACGCTTGCCCCACCATTTACTCCCCTCATCTTCTTCCCCACTCAGGGTTGTTTCTGTGCTCTTCTCACCTCCAGGCTTCAAGAATTCATCTACCATAGTCTATAAGAAGGAGGGAGAGCCTGCCGAGTTTTCCTTCCCACTTACCTTCCAAGATGAAAACCTGCAGGGGGAGCTGATGTGGAGGGCAGAGAAGGCCTCCTCCCCCGGACCCTGGGTCACCTTTTCCCTGGAGAACAAGAAGGTGGCTGTGCTGAAGTCTTGGGGCACCGCCAAGCTCCAGATGAAGGAAGAGCTCCCGCTCCACCTCAAGATACACCAGGTCTCGCTGGACAACGCTGGCTCTGGGAACCTGACTCTAACGCTGGCCAAAGGAAAACTGCGTCAGGAAGTGAACCTGGTGGTGATGAGACGTAAGGGCACTTGACATAGCAGAGGATGCAGAGTCCCACGAAGTCCTGCCGGAAAACAGGACAGGCCGGGGTGAAAGGAAAAGGGATGGCCCAGGGCTCTCCATGGCTGGTCGGGTCCCCAATCCCAGCTTGTCTAGCTAAATGAAGGACTCTCCAGGTTTTGAGCCAGTTTGTCTTTTTTTTTTTTCCCCCCCTGTGCTGGGGACAGAAACCAGGGCCTCATGCATGCTATGCACAAACTCTATTACTGAGTAGCACCCAGTAGTCCTGGGCTGGCTTTGAAGTGAATTGAGGCTGAAATCCACAGCCCTTCCCCAGTGGGCTCCACCGAGGCTTAGACAACCATCAGTCTAGTTCTTCCTCTGCCTGTGGCCCTGGCTGAGCCCCTTCCATATCTTGAACCTGCTTCTCACCTTTTCTTTCTTTGTTTCTTTTCTTTTCTTTTCTTTCCTTTTCTTTTCTTTTTGAGACAGGGTTTCTCTGGGTAACCCTGACTGTCCTGGAACTCACTCTATAGAACAGGCTGGCCTCGAACTCAGAGATCTGCCTGATTAAAGGTGTGCACCACCGCTGCCTTTACTTTTATTTATTATTATTATTATTATTATTATTATTATTATTATTATTAGAGTCTCACTCTGTGGTCCTGGCTAGCCTGAACTCACAGAAATCTGCCTGCCTCTGCCTCCCGAGTGCTGGGATTAAAGGCGTGCGCCACCAATGCCCGGCCTATTTTTATTTTATTTTATGTCTGTGTGAGGGTGTCAGAAACCCTGGAACTGGAGTTACAGACAGGTGTGAGCCGCCATGTGTGTGCTGGGAACTGAACCCAGATGCTCTGGAAGAACAGCCAGTGCTCTTAACCATTGAGCCATCTTTCCAGCCCTGTGAGATTTGTGTGTGTGTGTGTGCATGAGACACACACACAGAAAGAGAGAGAGAGAGAGAGAGAGAGAGAGAGAGA